TTTTTTTTCTATTGTAATTTAACTATTTTTTTGGAAGAATAAACAAATATTCAAGGTAGTAGTAAATAAAATTTTGTTTCAATTTTCAATTTATTATTACGACTTTTATTTCTTGTTATGGTGTTCAAAAAAAAAAAAAAAAACGTTTTATACATTTTTTTTGTAGACACTCTAGCAGCAGTCTTTTTTTATGATTCTTTCAAGGCATATCATTTGGTTGGTAAATTGGATACAGCACTTCAGTCAAGTAGATTTAGGAACTGAAATGTCATATAAGCGAGAGGATAACTTTTGGATATTTGCTGCAAAAATTTACTTTCTCCAGATCTTTTTCATTAACGTTCCGTCCTTCCAGCAATAAGCATTTTATGGCTTGGTAATCCCCTTTAGCAGCTGCCTTATGAAGTGACAGTTTACCACCCTAAAAAATTCAAAGGATTTATTTAAAGTTGCTTCTAAATTTTTAGCTTTGATATAGTTCATTATTGGTTCCATCTAGCTGAAATAAAGTTTGCCGTTTAAAAACTGATTCGGAGTTTGCAATTATTTTACAGAACGTTCATGTTTTTTTCTTTTCTTCATTTTATGCTTCTTGTCACTTTTTTCAATCTCATTTACTAGTTTACGTTTTTGCATTAAATAAAACGTTATTTTCCTCAAGCTGTTTAACAGTTTTTTCAAAAGAAAGAATAGTTGGGAAGAATAAAGCAGTTGATAATAATGTCGGAAAACTCAGAAAACACCTTCCTTGTCATATTTAGCATTACAATTTATTGCATATTTCTTGAAGTCCCACTGCGATTTAGTGGAATTCAGTTGAAAGTCGGTTTTTGAATTAGTTTTTTGGTATAATTCTATTTGTGCATTCGCGTTTTCAAGTATTGAAAAGTTTCAAGTTTTTTTTTTTTCTTTGTTTTCTTCATCGTTTATTTTTTTACATAATACGCAATTGATGACTGTACAAAACAGAATAGAGCTTCATGAAAATGTTGTTGTCCAACTGTAACCAACTCTTATGCAGCACTCATGAATAAAAAAATTTTTCTGCGGTAGCAAACGTCTTATCAAATCGTATAGCAAACGTCTTATCAAATCGTATACCTTATCAAAAAGACCGGGGTTAACGATGCAATCCTTTAAATCAAAAATTTTTTGCAATTTTTTTTTAAACTAGGCTCCTTAAGAAAGCGAGATCTTTTTTACACCGATAATGACTTGGATATATTCGAAAATGAAGAAAATTAATTCTGCAAAAGCTAAGAACTATCACAAAAGACTTTGAAAATCTGACGATGAGGAGTAAAAAAAAGCTCTAGCGTTGCATAGCGGTAAAATAATATCTCGCTAAGACACACAAATCGTAACATTAAATGTAATTCTAGATTTAAGCTGTGCTTATTACGACTAAAAAGTAGAAAAAACTAGAGAAAGGAGTAGTTTTTTGATACCAACCATAATTTCCCTGGGCTTGAAACTTGTTGAGCAGATCAAAAGCTTCTTTATCCTGATTTCACTGCGAACGACGTAATTCAGATACCAATACTTAGCCTGCAAACAAAAAACCTAAATTTAAAAATTGCATTTAGATTTTAGAAGCAAAAACTATGTTGGTGGCATTTCTAGTTTTGAGAGTTTTTAAGTCGATTGTCTTTAAAATAAAAACAAACGAAAGTGGAAAAGTTGTGTGGATGTTTTGCTCCTCTTTTTATAACGTTACAAAGTTGGAATGCACTTTGCTAGCAAACTCTTTCAGCAAAATTATGATTTACGGAGTAGGCGAAGGAAACTTCGTGAGAAACAACTTCAAACATTCAAACTACTAAATTACAGTTTTCTATAATAAAATTGAATGAATTTTGAATTTAGGGTAATGATCATTTCCAAAAAAAATTTTCTCGATTTATGTGCCAGAAAATGGAGCGCTAACAGGTCTTCAGAGCTTCAGTGTTTGATTGATAGAAAAATTACAACAGCAAGAAGAAATAGTTGGTAGGAAAAAAAGCAGTGAAAGCAAAAATTACAACAACGTTACCAAGAAAGTTTAACGAAGCAAAGTATGAGCACTTGGCGTGACTGCTTACTAACTAAACCTTCTGTATGACTGTGGTTTTTAAATTGCCTTTTATCAGCTTTGCGTTCTGTAAGCATCAGGTAATTATCAGCCGATTGTTCTTCGGTCTGTAATTCTGAGTTTCTGTCAAAACTAAAAGTCAAGTTTTTGTACAGACTTGATTTTTTTAGACCAAATTTTTTTTTCTTCATAATTATCTGATTATACAATGCTTACTAATTGTGAATTCTGAGTGTTGTTCCCTGAGCAAATAAGCCATAAAATTTTAGCCAAAAAGTGACATCATTAAAATGTCTGCAGAGAATCAGCACTCATCTTAAAACTTTTAACTCACTAAAATACCTGAATTCTTTGATAAACGAATCGCTACCTCTTCAGAAATTTTTTTTACGAGTACTGAACTGCTCAAATAAGACAATAAAAGTTTTTTTCAGGCCCAAAGTACATCTCTCGCAGAATTATAATGTGGGTCGTTTTAAGGACAATCAACAACAGTCCATTATACAGCACCTTTTTCTTCGATTCTCTTAACCTCTAACAGTAATGCACGTCTCAACGTTTTAAGGAACGGCCATAGTGTTTATTGTAGTTCCGTAACAAACCCTAAAAACTTTGATTCTGCTAGCAGCAAACA